TTAAGCCTAACAACTCGCAACAAGAAAACAAGAATACTGCGATGGTTCGCCACCCGGGGGCTCTCCGACGATCAAGTCAGTAATATATATGTTTCAAAGATACCAAATTGTGCTTAAACTCACAAGAAATAACTTACCTCAGACTCACGAGAATGCCTTACTTTTATAACCAGCAGTGATCTAATCCCTTTAGAAGCCTCACTTCAATAGAATTAGGCTCAATGCTCATCCTAGACCGTCATCTAGATAGAGATAAACTCTTTTTGAACCTTATCTTATCCAGAGTGAGATCCTCCTCTGTTTTATGAGTCTTGTTCCTTATCTGCTTATCTCAGATTGTGGCATCTTCGCAGATAATCTCGGCCTAATCGAGATCATCTCGGCAAGCACGACCAGGCCACATAGCACAATTATAACTAAGTTGATAGATTCTTATAAAAAATATATATATATAATAATAATAATAATAATAATAATAATAATAATAGTAAATTTGTTATAAAAATAATTACTTATAATTAAAATTCTTATTTTTTTTTCAATATTTTCATCCTAATTAAATTTGGGAAATTTATTAAAAAATTATTTTTTAAGTACTTGTATCCCAATTAAAGCATAACACATTCTTTTATTCCAATAAGTCTTATTATTTGAACATTTGATTCATAAAATCTTAATTCTCATATTTAAGATATTTTATGGACAATTTTACCCTTATAAATATTTTTGGGTAAATTACATTTACCTCCCTTGAGGTTTCTGACAAATACAGGGACCTCCCTTGTGGCTTGAATAATTACAGTAACCTCCCCTACTTTACCTGACAATGTCAAGATTCCCCCTTCTGTCAAATTGTTCCAAATGATGTTACTTTTTCTATAATAAATGAACTTATTGCCCATCCTTTTAAAATATTAAAAAATATTTTTAGATTGGAGGATAGGTTTGGAAGAAACAAACAATGTTTGGAACAGTGTTTTTGGATTTATTTTTTTAAAATATTAAAAACTGTTTTAAAAAAATTTATTTTTTTTATTTTTAATATATAATTTTTATTTAAATATTTTATTTTATTTTGTAAATATTTTAATTTTTTTAATTTTAATATTTTAAACTCAAAACA